TTCATCTGAAAACCGTAAAAGTGTGATATAAATTACAACAGCCACGCCCTTGTCTTGTAACTTGTTAATATCTTTGTTAAGAATGTCAAGAGTGTTAGGCACACGACATCACCGTGCAGACGAACACTGTTACGTCGAAATTAGAGTCTAGAGATGGAAGCACCCACTTTTGACATGCACCATAAAGGAGCAGCGTTCTGTTATCCGTTTTCTGATCAGTGAAGGGGCGAAACCTATATAAATTCATCGGCAAATTAAAGCACCTCTTGCATTAGACTCTCCAAAAAGAAGGTTGAGGTTTTTTTCTCTACTTCCATCTATGTGAAATCACAGACCTCCTAGATTTGTTCCATAGAACCCATATGTCCGTGGACCTCTAAATGGGAAACACTGTCATACTGTTCTTTTTTTTTTTATCAGTTATGAGTTCACAGCACTCCGGACACGTCCATAGGTGCTCAGATTCCAACTTCAACATATTCATCAACCTCCTGTGGTTAAAAGTGACAATCGTATGGTGTCTGGTGTGCCTCTCACACTTGGCTGTGCCGATATTTACTCCCAATTCTCGCATGCTTAGTACTGATGTGGAAATGCGGCTCCTAAATTCTCTTATGTCCTATCTCTCAAAGAGCATTAACAACGTAGGCGCCATTCACGGTTGCCATCTGCAGCTGAAGCAGAACCGGCTCATTGTATAAAATGCAGTCGATTTGTCACCCTGGTAGTGCAGGTAGACTCTCAGTTTGCTACCTCAGCGACGACGTATATCGCCATAACCTCACTTACGGTTGCAGTCGCCATAACATCCTGTCCGAATGTCCGACAAGCGCAGCAGGACTAGTCTGAGATCTGAGAGTCATGACCCAGGTCGGCCCGCCTCCCCCCCTGAGTTTGTCTAAGAATGCAAACCGGTCGAAACAACTGTTGAAAGGGGGACACCTACTGAAGATCGGTTGACTCCTATTGTGAAAGCACCAGCTGTGGAGTTGTTCTTTTTATTATTATTGCTGTTTCATGTTATTAAAACTTGGCAATATCGGAGACACTACTGGAGACAAAATACTTACTTGGGGAAATGTTTGCTAAAGAATGGCGGCTGTAAAATGCCAGCAGGAAACACTGAAAACAATCAAGATATATATTTATATTTTTATCAAGATTTAAGTATAGTTTTAGATCAAGATTTTTAATCATATTAAATCAAGGTGTATATTTAGTTTTACATAAATACTTATACTTCGTCTGCAGCCAAAAAAAAAAAAAAATATACATCTAGATTAGACAAGAAAGCATAAAACTTGAATACAAACAAAATATAAATTTTTATAAAAAATTATAAATACATATTTATTAGAAACTAAATAAAAATCTTAGGTTAGTTAAAATCAAGAGTTGTATTTAATTTTGACTGTTAAACATTATATTTACAAAACAAAATAATTGTTTTGTTTTAAAATCAAAACGTATGTCTGTGTTCTCAAATTAGGCAACTGTCATATTTATGCGTTTTCTTTTCCTTATACGGATTTAAACAGACGGCGGCTCTCACTGGACTTAGTCTTGTACAAACGCATAATAATTGTCTAACTTCTGCAGGCATTTGTTACATTGGTTAAAGTTAAAAGGTTAAAGTCGAGAGAATCGACTTCATTGCACCAGGTTTTACCCCATATGGCTCAGTCTCTCTCCACAAAACGGCTAGCCGCCTGCCGAGAGCATGGTACAGAGCACTAATTCCACAGCGCCGACGACGATCTCCAAGGGTCTCCGTAAAAAGTGCAGACGTGAACTGAACGACCAGTCTTGAAACGAGCCAACGACCTTCAGAGAGCCAGGCAAACAGCTTGACCACTTCGCCATGGAGACCCCCGGGCCAGCCTTTCCCGGACCCCATGGATTCAACTGCAGGTGGCATTCTCGTCATCAGTCAGCAGATCCTTTATAAACCATGGATCACATCACGGCAGTCCTATAATTCTCTTTCTCTAGCCAATTCTCCAGCATATTCTCCTGCCCTATGTGCTATCATAGCCAGCACATCTTCACTGTCTCGCATTAACCTTTGTGGAGGTCTGCCTCTGCCTCGTCTGTAGACTGTACCCTCCATCATCCATCTCTCTAGGCGACCATGACGTTTAAAATGGCCAAAATATCTCTGCTCTGGCGACAGGGTGCTGTTTATGAGCCAAATATCAGCAATGCTCAGATCATGTAGGATGACCGTGGCTTGTCTCCCTCCATGGTTTATGGAATTCTAAAAAAAAATTTTTTTGTAGCATTTCAGTCCAAATACTCGAGTGCTTTGCATCAATGACCAAGCCCACGACTCACATTCATAAGTTACCACAGGAAAAATGCATGATCTCAAAATGTTCACCTTAACTTGGTTGCGTGCGCTGTGCCATCGGTTCTTTATGCTGTTTAATCTCTGCATTACTAAAGCTTATCTTTTTCTGACCTTGTGTGTGTGTGTGTGTGTGTGTGTGTGTGTGTGTGTGTGTCTGTGTGCGGGCGAGCGCGCACGTGCGCGCGGTCGCCACTGTTTAATATAAAACCCACATATTTTCAGTCCCTTCGTTATCGATTTTAATACGTAGCTGGTGTGTATTGTGGTTATTATTGTTCCTTTTTTCACATTAGGAAAAATTTTATTTTTCACTGCCAGAATTAATTCGTCCAAGCCCTGCACACAGATAGAAAGCAGAACTGTGTCGTCTGAATATCTGAGTTCTTGGATAGGTTAGCTCCCATCTGTGAGTGGATCGCAGCAGTCACAGGTCTCGTCACTAATTGTATTTCTTATAATATTGTCATCATATCTAATGTTCAGAGATGGAGAAAGAATGCAGCCCTATCTTACTCCTCTCCGCACGTAAAACTAGTCCGGTGTTTCACCAGCTGCGCTATCTGCTGCTTGTTGTTCCTGCTAGAGGGATTCGATTAGATGTACCAAATGCGCTGGGAATCGCAAGCATCTTAGAATATGCCACAGTTTTTTTTTTTGGGGGGGGGGGGGGGGGTTTGAAAGCAGTCAAAGGCCTTGCTGCAGTCTATGAAGCATGTAAGAGATGTGTCTTATACTCTCTACATTTCTCAAAGATGATTCTCATATTGAAAATATGATTCCTTGTTCATCTGCCGTCTAAAACATGGTTGTGTACTTTGAAATTCATATTCCAGTTTCCTTGTCTACATGATGATTTGCAGCAGGAATTTGCTGTAAATGATAATCAGAACTACAGTACGATAATAAGTACACTAATGGTAATGTTAATGGTAATGCTAATGTTAGTTTCAGCTTCATAGCAAACGGGTCACCCCATAGTTGCTCCGTTCCTATGCCAACAAAAAACACACAGAATGTTCATCACAGTCCCTTGTGGAAATATTGACAGACTGCTGTCTCAGCACATGCACTAGCATACACACGCATTAAAAGCATACAGTAGCTATCAGAAGTGCTGACACAAACAGTCCGACATTAGAAATGTAGTTCATCATCTACGGTAGCAGAGGTAACCAACAATCAATTTTAATCACAGAAGAGCACCACCAATATTGCGACGACAGGCCACGCGCCATTTTCTGAATATACAATTCACAACACGTTGGTTACAGTCGGAAAACATTCCAAATGAAATGCACAGCTCACAGGGTCACACCATGCACTCAATTCAGAAGCTGGGCGACGAAACAATATCCTTTCAGGCTACAAATGGAGCAAATATGCAACGACCACCGTCTGGCAGAAGCAAAACGTTCACCACGACTCAAAACAGTGACCGTGCCTAGCCTCCATTTTGACCGGAATTTGACGTATGAGAAGGGCATTCTAGGTTTTGTATTATCATGTTTCGTAAGTGTATATATGTCCTTCCATCGTCTTTCTTGACCCCTGGATTTATTGGAATTTATTTTTAAACCTTTCATCGCGTATGCTACTGCAGTTGCAGAGTTTAGCGAGATGAAAAAGCAGCTCTAGTACCTTATAGACTTTAGGCAGATGACAGGGAAATACTATGTCAAATCAATCAATCAATAAGGTGCCGTCTCCACAGCGAAAGTTGGCTGCAATGGATCTCCAACACGCTCTGTCACTTGTCTGGTTGCACACTCTCTTAGACTGCTGCCCGTCCATGCCTTGATATCTTCTCACTTGTAACCTTGCCCACCTCTTGCTCTCTTGCCTTCGACCTTTCCTCCCAGTATGGTTTTTAAAAGTGTGTTATCTCGTTTAATGTGGTCAAAGTATTTCAATTGTTTCTTTTTTTTTAAATTTATTTAAGTAATTCTCTTTTCATTTCTATTACCTCTGTATTGGACTGATTTTGGTTTCCATGAAATATGACCTATTCTTCTGTATACCCATATTTCCAGAGACTCAATTAGATTTTATAGTTGCTTGCTCATTTTCCAATTTTCTGCACCACATAGCAGGATTGGGTATACATAACGTTTGACAGTTTTAATTTTTAGTGTGTTGTTTATCATTCTAATTGTCAGTATTTTGCACATCTTATTGAAGAAGTTTTAGCTATTCCTAGTCTCTTTTTGATTTCTGTTTCACTTCTATCATCTTCTGCTACTTTTAGACAGGAGAATTATGTTACCACTATGTAAAAGAGTCTGAGCAGAAAAAAAAAAAAAAAAAAATAAGGTATCCATCAGAGTTTAGACAGATACCAGGAAAACTCAAATATCCAAAAGAGCTTAGACTGATCACAGCAGAACTCTAGTAAGTAAAAGGCAGATGACAGAAACACTCTAGTCTCTAAACCAGGGGTTCTCAACCTTCCTAATGAGGCGCTCCTTTAATACAGCTCCTCGTGTTGTGGCGACCCCAAGCCATAACAATTATTTTCACTGCTACTTTATTATTTCAGTAAATATGTGTTTTCCGATGGTCATTGGTGACCTCTGTGAAAGAATCGTTTGACGGCTAAAAGAGTCGCTATCCACAGATTTAGAACCGCTGATCTCAACGAACATAAACTTACTAATCTGATTCTTGAGGGAGTTGTAAAACGCGTTGACAGTCGACGGTGGAGTTTCCCATCTGTGGAAGAGTTCGGTGAAAAATTGTATTGTTTGGTCCACTTCTTCACTCATTTAATAATCGTCGTCGTCGTTGTCATCATCATTATCATCCTTATTGTCATCAACGTCATTATCGTCGTCGTCGTCATGATTATCGTCGTTATCGTCATCATCGTCGTCGTCGTCACTGTTAAGTGTCGTTACATGTCACACAGTAGCCCTATATACCGTTTAGTCCTAGGCAATATTCTAGATACCATGGATGGAATCTAAACAGCACCTTTGACCTTTCTGGTCTCAGTGTTTCTCTCGGAAAGTTCTAGTTTTCTTAGTAGTCTAGCTGTTTCCTAATTCACTGCTTGTCTAGAGATTATCTTACCGTTTCTCCTATTTTTGTCAACTAGAATTTTGCCATCTTCTTGATTACTTATGCGTATTACTTTGTACACACGGGAGTCAAGGGGAATTAACCACATTATTTCTAAAGCAATAGAGTTTTGAAGAGATAATGTTGCTGGTTCTATACCAAAGTAACCATCCACGCTTATCGGTAGAGTACATGCTAGTGATCCACAAGGGGCCCCTGTAGCGCACAGACCTTATCTGTAATAAATCAGAATTAAAAACCACATGAGCCTCAATGTCCCCATGTATCTCTCATCAGACAAAACTAAAGCCCCATAAAACGTAATGGGTCTCCGTAGCACACATACCTTATCTTTCACAAATCGAGCTAAACCCTTATGAACCTCAATGAACCCTCTTAGCACTAAGGCCTTATATCTCGTATGCAGTAAGTTAACCTCATGAACCTCAATGGGCTTCCCCAGCACGTAATATGTCATAGTGTGGTCCGGATGGGGAGGTTTGGGATGGTGGATGTGGTTTGGTTTGTGCAAGTATCCGATCCCCCGAACATCGAACCCAAGGGCTCTCTGCAGAGTGTAGTTTGGTTTTCAACAGCGGATCAACATCATGGCGCAAGGGTAGAAGCATATAAGTGCTCCGTTCTACTTCTAACTCAAGCCTGAGTTAGTAGAATCTCTGTGCAGTGCACCAACTCCATAGCACCGAGAAGAATCCTGAAATTCTTTGGGTAGATTTTTAACTTAGTATTTTGCCCGGGCAGCGCCGTTAGGCTACTTTTTTCGAATTCCAATTGCCAATTGATTTTTTATTACGCAAGGGCGTCTGGCCTTACTACCCAGAGACCAGGGGAAATTACTAGAAGTCCACGTGAAAACATCACAACCTTCACCGGCGCCTAAACCTAGGACGTCCAGCACTCGAGGCGGACGCCATGCCTAGAGACAACACAGCCCCCCCCCCCTCCCCATTTCCGCCCAGATTGTTGTAGATGGAAAAGTAGTTGGGGGGGGGGGCGGGGGGGGGGGGGGGTTCAAGGTTGATTTGCGTGGAACTTCCATGTTTGTGAACTCAAGTGCTAAGTCCAAATAGTTGTCATCGTCATCAACATTATTCGATGCTTTATTAATATCCTACCCCTAGACGACGTCACAGGACAGTCCAACATTTTAGAGGTTGGTAAGCCTGGGTTTCTTGGCTTTCTGATGCTTTTAACGACCCCAAAACATCTAGAACTGGTCCTAACCCCAACCCACCTACGTCCCACGAGAGAGCGCAGCCTAGGTCTGACGACGGCATACGGCCTAGGTCCCACGACTGCATGCAGCTTTTCTACCACCCCCTGAAATATTAGACTGTCCCGGGACCTATAGATTTCCCCTGTTTGGGGTAAGATATTATTAAAGCACCCATTATCATTCTCCTCACAACAATCATCGTTTAAGAACAGCACGCCTGAAAGAAAACCGGTCACTCACGAGCTCTCCGGCCACGTACTGTCCTGTCCAAGGTTTCGGTTACGTTCAGTGTCCATCTACTCCTATCTCTCTTTATCTGTTACACATAAAACTCAAATGTCGTTAACCTCAAACCTCATACTTAGATTTATCCACTGTTTCCCGAAGTCGCCGAAAATTGCTGTGAAAATTCTCCCGGAACGTTGCTAGGATGTTCTCGAAATACTGATCCTTGTGAAATGTGAACTGAGGGCAAAAACAAATAATTGATACATAAAAAAACACCTGGCTTTTTTGTTTTTGCTGACATGATCAGATAGGCAGACGACAGGAAAATTCTAGACTCTAAAAGAGTTCAGGTAGATAACAAGGAGCTCTTGGATCTAATAAGTTCAGGTAGATAACAGTAGAACGCAGCATCTAAAAGACTTTGGCCAGTCGATATGAAAATTCTAGCATCTAAAACAGCTGAGACAGATGACAACGAGCTCTTGGATCTAAAGGTTCAGATTGATAGCAGCAGAATGCCAGCATCTAAAAGACTTTAGGTAGTCTTCTCCTTCTTCTTGGCGTTAACCAGCTGTAAACTCTAGCAGAAAGTTCTGGTTGTTCATCCACTTTTGGACTGCAGTCCTGTTCCAGGACCTGAGTGTTGTGTGTGCATCCGTTTTACAAATCTGACTCATTTTATGCAGACTTCTGGTTTCTTGCCTCTCAGGCAGATGCACTCCGACTTCGAAGGAAGCTCCCATTTAGTCGACTCTTACGACATGCTTTTTGGGTAGGCAGTGGGTCTATTATTGTTTTCCCTATAATAGGGCCTCGGAGCCCACACGGGGAAATTTGGGCAGTGAATTTGGAAACGCTAACATCGAAAGAGAGTTGAGACATTTGCCAGCAACAGTCTAGTATCTAACACATCAGATTTCAGCAAATCTGTGTTTTTTTTTTAATTATTTCACAATATGTTTGTTATGGGGTCATATATGGGTTTGTTATTCCCCACCCCCCCCCCCCAATATTTATCACAATTTGATTTAAAAAACCCACAGTCGTACTACAATAACAAAACAACAGGTAAAGCCGGGCTGCCAATAGGATTTATATCAAAACCCAAGATAAGTCTGATAAAAAAAAAAAAAAACAGATATAGGGAAAAACACCTAGAATTGTTAATTAGTATTTTATTCTCATGAAAATAAACATTTAAACTCTATTATTAAAGCGTTACTGTAACATGTTTTCTTCTTTGCCAGTTTCCATCATGGCGGTCACTTTTTGTTTACTTTCCATTTTGTTGAACTATCTTTGACCAACAGCCCCACTGTGCATATCTTTAAAAAAAAATCTGCACTAGGAAGTGAAATGTACCATGAGAACTTAACTTTGGTGTGGTAATCCTCAATCCATTAGCATAGTAATCCGCAGGATAGCCAGATTAATATATATATATATATACATTTAAATATTGGTCAAATTAAAAATAAATAAATCAAGAAAAACATATAGCAAAACATTCAAGAAAGACAGTAATTACTAGCTACAAATTTCAACAAAACCATTATCTATTGCTGAAAAAAAGGATAAAAAGAAACCGTTTATGACTTGTTAAAAGTACAGTGTGAGTTCTGGGACTGCCTTGCGCATAAAAAGGAATCGATCTACAGCCCCTTTATAAACATATCCTAAAAGACGACTTATTAGAGGTCTTTCTTTCGAGATGAACAAGCATCTGCCTGAGATAGTCTGCACCAAAAAACCTCAAGTTGTAGAGCAAGACGAAAGTTCAGGAGGGAATGAACAACCTGCTTTCCGACGGAGATACAGGGGATGATGCGTAGCTGAGGAAGAATAATTTGACAAAATACTCACGAAAACCAGACTTTGCTTCTTGCTAAAACTAAAAAAGTCAGGAAATCAGTTTCTACTAAATTAATTACACAAATGGTGGTGTCCGTGGCTTGGGCGTTGCGAGTCCGACTCGTTTTTAAAATCTAGAAACCATGAACTCTCAACACTTTGGCTCGGTACTATGGATATCGCAACCCTTCGGCCCTCATTCCATGATACTCACTGGGGAAAATGTGGCTTTTCTGCCTACCCCCGGGCGTGAACCCGGACCACAAGGAGTTCGCGTAATTCCAACGTACCGATAGCTCAGGCAGAAGACACAATCAGACAGGTTTGCATCATTGAGAACATTAGGCGAGGAGAGGAGTGGGTCAAAGTGCCACCTGAGCTGTCAGACTTCTGTGGAGTCATAATCATGCTGAGCCGGAAATGCAGAGGCTGGCCAGCAGGTGTCACGGAGATGGAAATTCAGCAATCAATTTAAGATAATGCTCGCTCAGAGGATTTGATCATTTACACAGACGGTTCAGTGTCAAGAGGCAAAAGAAGTGCTTGAGGCTTCTTAGCAAAAGTTAATGGTCGACGTTTGGTGCAGGAGAGCCTAGCATATGATACCACAACATCCAGCTTAAGAATGGAGGTGGAAGCGGTCACTGCAGCTTGCCGCTGGCTAGAGAACACGACACAAACACACACACACATCGTGATTGTAACAGACTCAGAAAGCATGCTTAGGAAGATCAGAACAGGTATGCTTCGTGCAGAGTGGCATGCTTCGCTGCGGAGGACACGGGTGAGGTGTATTGTCTAAATTTTTTTCACCGGGGCCGCCGGTGTGTTGGGAAATGAACAGGCGGACAGACTGGCTGGCTCTGCTCATGATACATGATAAGGCAGACGTGGTTAGTGCCTTGTGGGAGAGCGTGTACAGTTCGGAGGAGCAGATGGATCACCACAGTCTGGTGAGATTGATGCAGGGGGAGTGACGAGAGGTTCTGGCAGATGCTCGAGGCTCAGAGGAAAGGCAAGACGGAATTTTAATCAGAATGCTACTGGCACTATTAGTATCTGAACTCTTCGCTGGCTGCTAGAGATGGGGACGGAGCGCTTATGGGAATGCCCCGAGTGCTGTGATGTCGGTTCTTGAATCAAATCAAATCAATCAACGTACCGCGATGGAAACCCACTGCTGAAACGATATCACGAGAAACGATACTGTATATGAGTCAGCCTCCACGATGTCACAGTTAATCATGACAGGTGGAAAATAAAAAAATAAAAACCAGCGAAACATTGTTTTGCTACAATACCCAGTTAAACTTTATTACTTCTGGCACGCTGTTTTGTGGTTTTCAGCAAGGAAGTGATATCTCCACCTTTTAGCCTGAAGCATCCGTTTCCTGAAAACCCCTCATAAACCTTTTTAGAAAATAAAAAATGCTTGTTAGAATGGCAGTGAGTCAATTCCCCGTACCTCCCACCACCAAAATTTGAGCTGTTAAAACACACAGCGGTACAGAAAGAAGCCAAACAGACGTTGGCGACCGGTTTGCCCATTGGCTTGCTTGCTGAATGTGATGATTTGTTTTTTTTTTTTGAGCAAAGCAAGGACAACGACGAGCGGACAGAAAATAGTAAACACACATGTTCGATAAGGACTTACATTGGCGTAGTAATGCTCCAGATAACTGTTATTGGTGAGTTCTTGTGGGTAGCCGATCTTTGGGGAAATGTTCTCGTTCTGTGGAGTGTGACCATAATAGTATCAATAACAATAATAATAATAATATGCCGAATGGGAAAAAATTTATTTAAAAAAAACTTAAAAGTAGAAACAATTATTTCAACAGGAACCTGCAATACATAGTAAGAGTAGCTGCTTATTCCTGTTGCCTTTTTTCTGTAGGGTGATTTTGGGGGGGGGGGGGGGGGGGGGGGGAGGGGGACGATACCCGAGCTCTCAGTTGTCTGCATCCTGGCTGAGCTGTAAGAAATTGATTTACAAGAACTTTTTATTCCGCGCTTTCAGGCGTTTTTGGCATATAGGGCTAGACCTCTATTACTTCTGGCACTCTGTTTTGTGGTTTACAGCAAGGAGCGATATCTCCACCTTTCAGACCAAAGCATCCGTTTTCTGAAAAACCCTCATTAACCTTTTTTAAAAGTCAAAAAGGCGCTAGGCAGGGGCACTGTTTGGAGCCGAGGCAAATATTTTGCTTCTGCCAGACGGTGGCCGTTAAATTTTTGCTCGATTTGTAGACTGAAAGGATATAGTTTCGTCGCCCAGCTTCTGAGTTGAATGCATGGCGTGACACTGTGAGCTGCGGATTTCATTTGGAATGTTTTTTCGCCTGAGACCAACATGATGGTGTGAATTGTAGATTCAGAAAATGGCGCGATGCCTGTTGTCGCAACGTTGGTGGTGCCCTTTGATATTAAAATTGATCGCTTTGCATCTACTGATCTGTTGGTGACTTCTGCTACCATCAATGATGAAATGCATTTATAATGTCGGACTGTCTGTGTTAGCACTTCGGATGGCTACCGTATGCTTTTAACGCGTGTGTATGCTAGATATGCTGAGACAGCAGTCTGTCAATCTTTCCACAAGGGACTGTGATAAACATTCTGTGTGTTTTTCGTTGGCACAGGAGCAGAGCAACGATGGGGTGACCAGTTTGCTATGAAGCTGAAACTAAGACTACCAGACGCTAATCGGCACTTGGTGGGTAATTTAGTCAACATCTCGCCGGCCCCCTTAACTTCCTGTGAATAACATGCTACTCATTTAAGGCTAGGTCGACTTGGGAGTAAACGTTATTTTTAAAGAACATCGGTTCCGACAAGATTTGAACTCACGATCTTCAGATCCGCAGGCGAGTGTCTAGTTGCTACACCACGAAGGCTTTCATGTGATATAAAGGCTTGGCATGAACTGGTGGAGACCTATACTCCAGGTGGGAATCAATAGAAGGAGAAGAGAAGACAAGGTAAACCCACCTTTTCTCTGGCCACTTTCTTTGTGTCCTCGTCCATCCAGTCATTGTCTTGAAGAAGTTCGTTGAAGGCATTCTGGAGACCCGTGATCATCTCCAAGGCCTGGAACAGAAACAAAAAAACATGGTGATAAAAGTTCAATATTTACACAGACATACACCAAACAAAAATCACTTGTTGTCTACCCAGTTGTTACACGGTGAAGCCGTTAGCCTAGTAATCTAAAGGGTGTGGTTCTGACCTCAGATTTCATTCTTATGTTAGTCACTGCAGGGGGTTTCAGAGACCCATAGGGTTGGTTGATAGAGTTAGAAAGTTTGAGCTGTGTGCAACAATCCCATATGCAACCAGTGAGTCTAAAGCAATAGCGACTGCTAGGTTATTCTGGATAAAACATCTCACCACACGGGGCAATCCCATATTAGCTCTGTCCCCCTTCTCAACAGCCAACGAAGAGCCTCCATATGATGGTACCCGTTGTCATCTGGGTAACTGTTTCGGGGTTTCAGTATTTTCAGCTTTAACTTTCGCCAAGAGGCGAGAGATTATCTTGTGGAAAAATCTAGACTACTGGAGAAGTCTGAACTACTTTAAAAATGTGACTAATGGCAAACTGGCAAATCTAGCAAAATTGGCACATCCTGATATTGGCAAGAAGAAGAAGCGAAGGAGGATAAGGAAAAAAAAAGAATAGATAAAGAGAAGGAGGATAAAAATTAGGAAACAGGAAGGAGAACGAAAAACATGAGGATAACGAACACGAGAATGAAGATAAGGAGGAGGGGAGGA